ACAGGAAAAGAAAAAGGGCAGTAAACCCAAGAAGCACATCTTCAAAGGAAAAAGGTGTTTTATTTTGATCTTCAAGGGATGAGCTACAGCCCGCTCACAAAGGCAGCTGCTTATGTCCAATTGATAAAAATCCCCCAACTTGAAAAGGACATCACACTGCAGCTCCTCTGATTAAACTAAGACAGTTCTCTACATCAAACTAACCACCACACCTTCCTCCCCTATCAGCCTCACCTCACGCCCGAAGAGGCCTACCTTGGCAATAGGAAGACAGCTGCTGGAACCACGAATTGGAGGGAGATTATCTTCCGTGGCTGGGAATGTTTTCGTTCCATGGAAGTGAATTTTATTTTCTTCTTTTTTAATTTCTGATACCCAACTCTAAGAACAAGGGAGAAACGGGCAAATTGTTATACAGGCAGTTCCAGAATTATGAATGAGCTGCCTAAGTCTACCTTTAATTTTGACACAAATTGGGACAGCTAGGAGACCGTCTGAAACACAGGGAGTCTCGGGATTATAAAGGAGCTCCTTTCCTACGTCTGTCTTTACACTGAATTTGCATGTAAATTGGAGCAGTTAGGTAGTTCACGTTCAGTGTCAGTTAGACAAATGTGAGTATGCAGAATGCTGGCGAAGAATAAGAACCACGGACTCCCAGAAGGACAAACAGAGCTGCCTGGGGAGAAGTATAGCTAGAATGTTCCCTGAAGCAAAGATGGTAAGACATACTTTAGACATGTTATCAAGAGTGACCAGTTCCTGGGGAAGGACATCATGCTTGGTAACATGGAGGGGCCGTGAAAAAGAAGGTAAGGCCCTCAAGGAGATAGATCAGCACAGTGGCTGCAACATGGACTCAAACACGGCAACAGTTGTGAGGCTGACGCAGGGCTGGGTGGTGTCTCCTTCTGTTGTCCCCAGGGTCACCATGAGTCAAGACCAGAGATGACACCTACCAGCAACATGGCTGCCTTTATATGCGTGGAGAAAACAAAACATGAAAGACACACTTTCAGATACACTAAAAGAGTGTGAACATAATATGCAGTGATAGTAATACCGTTTTACTGCATGTTGCAAAGTAGGGCTGCATGTGATGACAAACCATGGTAAGGGGGTGGAGTATCAAAGATTCACAGACAAGTGGAATCAAGAGAGAATGGGATTGGGGGTGGGGGTATGTGAGTGGCGGTAGTGGCTGTGGCCCACCAACTTCATGAAGCCCCCTGTATGTACCTCACGTTTGTTGTACAGCAGGCTTTATGCGATTGGTTTGTAACTACAGGCTGCATGTAAGGTGGATCTTCGTTCCCTAGGGGCTGCCTACAAATATATCAGGCAGAGAGCGGACTGCACATCATCAGTGTCCAATGTTTTAGGTGACAATTTGATCGTCTTATTCTAGCTTTGTAGAATGTTCTTCCTACTTTTATTTATTTTGTAAGAGCTTATTCATCCTCTCTTAGAAACACTCTTTCCCTGAACTGCCTGGCTGAGCTTAAAAGTATACCTGACCATGGACTCAAAGCCCACTGTGACTGAGTGGATTCCACCTTATAGCGACTACACAGCTTCTGAGGCTGTGAATCTTTACAGGAGCAGAAAGCCGAATCCTTCTCCCAGAGATTGGCTGGTGGGTTTTAATCACTGACCTTGAGGTTAATAGTCCAATGCTCACCAGACAGCACCACCAGCACTACCTTATGCATCGCCATGGAGATGTTAAACCATCTCCTGTCTGTGTGGCTCTCTCAATGTACTGTAAGCTTCTGGAGGATAAGGCCTGTGTCTTAATCTCCTATTGGTGCTTCGGAACCTAATCTAATGCCTAACACATCACTGCTTTACAATAGTTGCTATTGAAATGAATTCTCACAGGTGCCAGGAAAAAA